CAGGGCCTCCAAAAACCCACTATTCATGGTGATGTACTTGTCACTGCTTCTACCTGCATAACCTTCAGATATAAACATGATCAGCCCATGAGGGGAAACAGCAACTAGATATTTCACAGTATTGGTTCCTTTGTAGTGACTAAATGTGGAACTCCTGGAGTTGAGGTTTGTAGCTCTCTGAATAGCTGTTTCAGCACAATCAATGATGCAAGTTGTATTGGGGTAGTTTTCTCTAAAAGATGGAGGCATATTGGCACGAATTACACTTCTCGGGAGCCAGGCAACCATAGGCACAAGCTGGTCCCCCATCGTGTCAATCCAGTCAGAAATCACTGTACTTGCCTTGCTTTTGGACACATTGAAACGGTAAGCCACATCTCCTAACACAAGGTTAAGTTTCAATTTCATGAGGGTCATCAGTATTTGATCAACAACAGGAATATTACACGTTGGTTTTCTAAATGGCAACATTGTTTCCACCAATGTAAAGAAATGAGTCCGAATCATTCCTGTGTACAGCAGCGACGAGTGGTCATCTACTAGCACAAATTCGGCCACGGTCTGAGCCTTTACAGTCTCGGTCTGCGTTTCTTTGTTTCCAATGTCTGCCTTTGCTGATGCGTAGCTGTGGTCGACCATTGACATTTCTTCCCACTGTGTCGCAGCGTCTTTACACTTAGGCTCGTTGACAATCTGGTCCACTAGCAGCACAGATTCAGTGCTCATTTCAGCCGTTTCTGAAAGACAGAAGCATCATGTTATTATGTACTACACATACAACACACACACAACAAAAATATAATCACGGGAAGCGTTTACACTAGATAACCATTTAACATTTAAGTTGTGTTCGGGTCAAATTAGACCGATATGCACATTTAAACACTCATAAAACATTCTTGTTACATCTCATTGCCAAGACTTTATGATATCCGCCACACTTTGCACCTGAATATACAAAATTGATGAGCATCACTTTACTGGAATTTTGAGTCTTTTAGTTAACCTTGTTACATCTGTTGTGTTCCGGTCAAAAGTGACCACCATAGAAATGTATGTGTAAACAGATATATTTATCCAGACAACACACACACAGACAGCACACACAGACACAGACAGCACACACAGACACAACACACACACACAGACACAATACACACACACAACACACACACAGACACAACACACACAACACACACCAAATTAAGGGGCGAGAAACGAACATGACTTAAAGGTTAAAAGTAAAAGACTTATCGTGAGAACTTGAGGCTCTATGAAAGCCGGGGTTCCTCTCAAGTTTACGTCTCTTGCGCTGGGGAGGACGCTCGTATCCCAGGAAAAGTTCCGGGAAAGGATTTTCCTCAGTGGGCTTCTTGTCCACAAAGTGATAGGAGCAAACATACACTCTTTTAGGGGGTTTCTTCAACTTTAAAGCAGCTAGCCACATCCTGGACTCGTTGTCAGCTGTTGGCTTCAAAAACAAAGCAAACGGTGGAGCACATCCACATCGGCGTCTTGTAGCTGGTCGATGATCATAACATTCTCCTTCCAGCCATATATTCAAGCGTTTCCACGAATTCGTACAACCACGGACCGCACAGTATGATCCACAACCCAGTTTGCGTTTTCCTATATCCATTTTAAAATCCGCAGAACTTGGAATGATCCTCCATCTTCGGTCTAAACTGCAGTTGTGTAAGCTGCGCCAAGCGCAAACCGGAAGTGAAAAAAAGCATAGCGCTTCAATGGCTGCGCCCATGGTTACGCCCAAAAAACTCGTCTATAGGCTCTATGGAACATGCTGATGTCACATAACTGCAACCTACGAAAGATACTAAACCTACGGCGGCCATTTTGTGTGAATAGAGAAAACTGCTGCAGAGATTTTGGGCTGTGCAATATTAAATAGTTTGGAATGTTTAGACTGAAACAGGAGAAACCAGCTGTGACCATGATGCAATGCTTTCATCTCGGAGCTGCTGCAGTCCCAGTTCAGAGCTGTTGTCGATATGTGACATCAATGCCAGAGACGTATGAAGTCATTATCCACTGAACACACTGCAAACACAGGTCTATAAGGACAGACTACACGAGTACGCTTTGGAAAAGGTTTAAGATGTTTATGAAGAGTTCCTTTGCAAATATAGATAAATGGCATTGGGAAAACATTGGACAGGCTTACAGCTGCTCTCTACCAAGTAGTCTGGTAAAAAGCCAAATCTATTTCAGTGCCAAAATAATAATTTTTCAAGAAGGAGTTTCTCTCCTTCTTGAGCAAATCCCTTCAAATGTGGCCAATAACATTTTGAAGATTGTAACTAGACGACTTAAACGTGTAAAGGCACCATTAAAGACCTTATGACGGGTTTGATTTATTTAGAAATACAGTTTTAATACCATTTTATATTAGAAGAGAACTACTAAAGGTTTCAAAATCAGTTGTTGTTTTTTTTGTCTGATCCCCCCAAATCGAAATAACCCCATAGCAACGCCCTTAGAAACGAAAAAACTTCACAGCCCTTGGTGACGTCAGAACGGGTACGTTTCAACGCTGTAAGTTGTTTACAATTTGGTATTCGTTCTTTTTTCGCGGATATTCAAGATGACAAGGCCGTGTACAGCGAGTATGAAATAACTACTAGAATAAAACATTTCGTTGTCACTGAGATAGTCCAGTGGTTGTGTTGATTGACTGCCAATCCAGATACTGGGGTTCAAATCCCACCTCGGGCCCTTTTTCACACTCAAAACGGCAATTTATGTGTAGTGAGCAATTGTCACCTGTAGAGTGCAGTATTGTGTTGGGCATCAGTGGAGAGAAGAGAGAAAAGGCAGTCCTGTGGCATAGATCCATGGTTTTCAATGCATGGGCGTAACCCGCTATGACGTCACACACAGGTTAGAGCATAGACAACTTAAATTCATGAAAAACACGTTCTTTTTATAAAATATAGGATTTTTTTTGCCGGAATCTCTTTCAAATTGACATTGTCATGCAATTTTGATATCCACAATTTAAAAAAAAAAAACCCGTCATAAGGTCTTTAAGATTTATATGGCTGTATTTTATGATGATGGACACTAAGTTTCAGTCGGTAGCTTAGCAATGTTATTTTTTTAGGATTGTACATTATTGTATCCTTGTATTTTATTGATGTAACCAGGGACTGCAGATGGAAACAGCTGTTTAGCTACAATCTGGTGCAGAACATACCTGTCTTTGAGCTTAATGTCTCTGTACACTGTCCCTTCAAATAAAGACTAAACTAGTACTACTTTAACAACATCCTGAGTTGTTAGGCTGTGTGTGTGTGTGTGTGTGTCTGTGTGTGTGTGGGTTGTGTGTGTGTGTGTGTGTGTGTGTGTGTCTGTGTTTGTCTGTGTGTGTAAACCCCTTTTTTATTATTGTATTTATTCCCCGTGTGAAGCGTCTTTGAGTGTCCAAAAAAGCGCTATACAAGTTTGATGTATTATTATCATTATTATTATTATTATAAAAGAAATGTGGCTAGTCGAGGCGGCTACACGCTCCAAAAATAATAACTAATTAAATCAAAGAAAGAAAAAGACCAACGACGCCAGGGCAAGGGTTCCCAAAATAAATACAAAGCTCACTAAGGCGCAGAGGTTAAATCAAATTGAGGCATAGAAAGACATTTACTTGGATTTATTATGTTTTGTCTAGTTTAATCTTCAGGTTTCACAATTCAGTCACATTTCCTGTTGCGATGGACTCAGGATCAACACGGGAGATGTGAAAGAAACACAGGGAGAATATGGAGGAATAACAGGAGAAACAGCGGTGGGCCGCGATGTTGCCAGTCCCCAGCCTATGGATTACAGTTAAGTTAGATAATGATCAACCACTATACTGTCAGCGTGTGCAGCTAAAAACCTACTTCTCTACGGTAAATGCTGAGTGCGCAGCCTTGACGGGTGATAGTTTAAAGGCCCAGACCCACAGCCGGCTACGACACGCTCGGACCCCGTCGAGGGCGGCCAGACGCCAAAGCGACAGGACAGCATGGCCGTATAAAAGCAGGACTCGCAGGACAACAGGGCCTCACAGCGGCACTACAACAACGATTAACTTATTAGTGGCTGCAACTTACAAATATTATCATGAACACTAAAGATCTCTACTACCTGGAGCAGGAGGAGGCAGGCGCGACCAAACACAGGAGACAGAAGTGCCGACGTGAAGTCGAGGCTGTTTATACCTCTGGTGGACACAAATATGGTGGCCAAGTCAAGCTTGACACACGCAGAAAGTCAGAACAGAGAAAGAATAACGATGAAAGTACACATTGTTATTGTCAATATGTGGGAAAACCAACACAACTGATATTATTATTGTCCTCTGCATTTGACCCATGCTTCTCTCCAGATTTGGATGCTCCTCAGGACAAGAGCTAGTGCATGTTTTGGGTCTCTAAATTAGTTAAAAGAATAAATGCACCGAATAAAATGATAAAATAATCGAGTGCTTGAATCTTAAAGCAGGATTTACAAATGGGACGAAGCCATTCAGTCTTATTTGAAAAACTGCTGCTTTATTGTCCCATGTTTTGTTTCTTTGTAATTGCATCAGACATTTCTTAATTCTTAAACAAGATAATTTTGCTTTGTCCCGTTCATTGGTGAATCATGTGAGAATGTGCTCAAATGAATTTACATTTTACCAGACTTCTAGCTATTTTCACTTATTCTTCATCACTTTTTGCAGTGTGGTACTAATCGATTATTGAGATAGTTGTTTGCTAACTCAGTCATAGGAGCAAAGATGGAACATGAAGAAAGCTCAGGAAATATGATTTGACAAAATGTCTCCTTTAATTACAGCTCAAACACTTTTCTTCACAAACTCCACACTGGGCATTAATTGTTTAAACAAATGTATGTTTTTGTCCATACTTTCAGCGGCTAAAGCTTTACACTGCCCATTACTATAAAACATTACAAACCACAGAAGCAGACACTCCATAGAGGCAGGTTTTCGCTCATTCCTTGACTTGGGCAATGGAACTTTGCACGACAGCGTTTGCCGACTGCGACGCCAACAGCTCTAGGTAGACTCTATGTGTCCCACCTTTAAGAACGTCCAGAGTTAGCGCTTCTGCAAACTCCCTCAGCCTCTCATCGTCTTCAGACAGCCCATGCATCAGGTCTGGTTCCAGCTCCAAAGGTTTGTCCGAACATTCATCCAAACTGTTGTGGTTTTCCATTTTTTCGTCATCCCTCAACCTCTGATCTCCCAGAACATCCCGCATCACGCCATGACTGAGCGCTTCTGCAAACCGCTTCATTCGTTCATCTACGTGGAATGCAGACGGAGCTAAAATCTCACGTTTTTTCATAGCCTCATTCTCCGTCTTCCTCTCAATCTCTTCTCGTACGCGTTTCATAACCTCCAGACTTACTGCTTCTGCAAACTCCTTCATTCTGTCTTCATCCTTCACCCCCACCTTATCTTTGGACATCAGCTCTGGCTCCGTTCTTTCATCTAAACTCTCCCAATGTTTCATCTTTTGGTCCTCCCTCACCCTGTCATCTCCTAGAGCTCCCTTGATCACATTCTGACTGAGTCTTTCTGCAAACGCTTTCAACTCTTTCAACGAGTCTTCCTTCACTCTAGGACTTTTCAGTGCCTCCTTCTCCATCTCCAACTCAATCTCCTCTCTAACGTGCTTCATCACCTTCAAACTTAACTTTTCTGCAAACTCCCTCATTCCCTCGTTACCATCTTTGGACATCAGCTCTGGTTCCAGCTCTACTCTTTCGTGAAAACTTTTGTCCTTTGGCGTTGGAGCAGAGGAATCATTCTTCATGTTACTCCAAGTTTTTATTCTCTCATTGTGTTCTTTGGTCATCCCAGAGAAAGCAAACTCCTCAAACAATCCTTCTTTCAGGTCTTGACAGAAACTCTTTTGACTTTTCATTCCCTGGTTGTCTTTCTTGGACATCTCAGTCGTCATCTCTGAGACCAACTCCTTTGACGTAGACGGAGCTGAGGCCAGGTCTCGTTTCGGTTTACCACAAAAACTATCAAGATTCATCCCCTCCTCCTCCATCATCTGCACTGGTTCTAGCTCAGCCTTTTTGCTAAATTGTCCGTCCGTTAGCGTTGGCATAGACGGAGGGGATACTTCTCCAGCTTCCTTCGTGGTGTCGTCGTCCAAACTTTCATCATTTGCCGTTGACGTAAGTGGTGTGAACTCTTTGAACAGGCCCAACTTCAGTTCATGACAGAAACTTTTCTGACTCTTTATTCTCTTGATGTCTTTTCCATCTTTCCTTGTTAAGTCCTTGTCCAAACTCTCCTCCTTTGGCGAAGATGACACCAACTCTTGGACCAGGCCTTGCGTCAGCTCTCCACACTCCCTCATCCTCTCCATCTCCTCCACAGACATCGTCGTTTCAGAGACCAGCTCCTTTGGCGTCGTGGGAGGTGCAGATGGAGAGAACTCTTTGGCCAGGCCACTTTTCAGTTTACGTCTGAAGCTGTCACCTTGTTTCTGCGTGTCTTCGGGCATCAGTGGCGTTGTGGGCGGGGCTTCAGGGTAGTCCAGAGATCCTGGAGAGGGAAGCTTGAACTTGGAGAAAGACGTGGGAAGGATTGAAGGGTTCTCTCCGCTGCTCGAGGCTTCAGTGAATGTTTCCACACATTCTCCAGTTTCGTTGTGGATCGACTGAAAATGATAGACACAAGAAAGTGTGAAATGTAGAAGATTTCTGCTGTTGTGACCTAAAGTGCTGCGCTTCATAACTTTAATCAGTGACTTTTAGAATGATGTATTTATGTGTTTGTTTGGATGGATGGGTTTTCGCTGCTGGACACCTGAATATCTCCTGCAGGGATCTGTGTCTTTCTGTCTATTGTTCTTCAGAAAAGGTTCACGCTCACCTTATTGTCCTGTTTTTCACAAATAATCCACTTTCACCTGTGATATGTTTCTCTGAATCATTTAGAAACTACATTTTTGTTTTAGTCTATTTTAGAAAAAAATAGGTTCTTGTAAATATTTCATTAAAATGTCTTAATTTATCAACAATGAACGTCTACATTTTTGTTCTACAGTTGTTTTCAGTTTTGCGTGAAATTTTTAACTCTCAGCCCAATGAGTCTCACTCACACACACACACACACAACCCATTCTAATGTGTTTGAAGTGTCTTGCCTAAGGACACGACCACAGTTTTGTTACTATACAGACCCAGAGGTCTCCCATCACAGTACTAACCAAACCCCACCATGCTTAGCTTCAGAGGTCTGATGGGATCTGGCTTTCACCTGCAGCTCTGGTCCTATTTATGAGACCAAAGTTACGTTCCCCAGCTTTAAATGTACTTAATTAATCTGCTGGATTAGACTCTCACTCACCCCGGAGCTTTGGGACTCTGCAGTTTCCATTCTCGTCTCCTCCTCGTCTCCTCTTCGTCTCCTCATTTCCTCTTCGTCTCCTCGTCTCCTCCTCGTCTCCTCCTTGTCTCCTCTTCGTCTCCTCTTCGTCTCCTCCTCGTCTCCTCCTTGTCTGCTTTTCGTCTTCTCTTCGTCTCCTCTTTTTCTCCTCTTTTTCTCCTCCTTGTCTCCTCGTCTCCTCCTAGTCTCCTCACTGATCCTGCTTTTCTTGGACTCCTGGTTCTTCTCCAATCTGTCAAATAAAAACACGTAACAATTTGAGACATTTTGAAAAGTCCAGATTTGGTTTGAATCGTTGCCGCTGTTCCTAAAGTCTGTCAAAACCTTTAGATTTTACAGTTTTATAAAACATTTGCTCCAGACTGTTTTCCACCGCGGACCCTGAGCCAAAATGATTACAAAAGTTACACCTTTTTCTGTACATCCTCCTTTTACATGGTTTGGTATCATTTCTATTTTTACAGGGACAGTGTACAATAAACATGAGCCAAGAGGAGATATGCATCGGACCGGCTTTTAGCAGCAGTGCTAATTTACAGCTGCAGTCCCTGAGCAGGTTGTTGTAAAACAGGTCGATAAAAGTAACCGGATACATGACCAAACATTTCAAATACATATCAAAGACACTCAACATTTCATGAACTTAATTCACGTCTTGGTCACACTTTAGTTTAGCCCTCATTAATAAACAGCAATTTTAGTGATAATTAATGTATAATTTTTTATAATTAAAATAAGCTTTTAATTGGTGTTTGTTAAGCACGTATTAGTCCTTATTCTACACGGCCTTATCAAACATCTAACTAACTGACACTAATGTAACCCACAGAGTCAGGATTAGGGCAGGGGTCTCCAACCTTCTTCAATCAGAGAGCTACTTGCACCAAAAAAGGCAGAGAGCTACTCCCTGTTGCAGTCGTAATAAAAATATCTATGCAATAATTACGACAGAAATAGCAACACATAAATATACCATAAAACTGTAAAACTCTACATTTATACTTATAATAATAGAAATGTTAAGTATTCTTTCAAGATAATTTGTTAAATTCTAAATCATTTGGCGAGCTATACCTGAAAGGGGCTGGCGAGTTACTGGTAGCTCCCAAGGCACAGGTTGGAGACCCCTGGGTGAGGGTTATGGCACTAATTAGCACTGAATTATCTGTTTAGTGAGGGAGTTTTTTCACTGTAGATGTGGGATCTCTTTCTACACATTTGGACATAGCCACAGGTCTGGGAACAGTTTCAGAGATATACAGTAGTAAAGTATCCAGACCATAACAGAACAGCAAACATTTTTAGATTCCTTAAAACTCTGTGTTTATGTCACTAATGTTCTGTTTTCTGTGTTATTATTGTTAATCGTTTTACTTTGTCTCGTCTAAATGTTTAATTTGAGCAATTTCAGGTTTGTTTGTTTTTGTGTAATTATCTTTTCTCATTCTTCATTCGCTGTTAATTATTTTGTGTGTGTGTATTTTTACATGTTTTTTCTTAATAAACTAGAAAATAATATAAATCCCTCTTAGTCACTATTTGCCTCTTTGGGCTGAGGGTGGTCCTCTCTGTGACACACACAAGTGAAAAGTGATGGACTCAAACTATTTTAGAGGCAAGAAGCAGTGACTCGGATTTTATTATAGAGTTTTTTTGTTGTGGTTTGAGAGTTACGTCCCCCAGCTTTAAACAGTGTGACCGCTGCATATTGGACAGAAGTGTGAGCAGCTGCTGCCCCCTAGTGGAACAGCCTCTCTCTGCAGCCCGCACTTGTTGCTGTGGCTTTGAACCATGCTTTGAACAGATGTGTTTTTCCTTGTTCGGAAAAAAATATATATATCTCAGCAGGATTTTGTAGACTAGTTTTTTTAGAAGACAAATACACTAAATACACTTCTACCTCCAAAATTACAAATGTAGTCATCACAAAAAATATCTGTAATCCTTTTTCAGTCATATTTGAATGTATTTTATAGCTAAAAGGTTATGTACATGTTGCAGATCAGTATTTCAGCAGGTGTCACTAACACTCTACAGGGAAGAAGTCCTGTTGTTTTCTCATATGATTATTTGATATTAATTAAAAAACACAATTTTATTCTTATATCTGAAAGTCCTTTCTACTGGCAAGTCCTGGTTCAAACACAACTGCAAGTTTGTTATGATTAGGAATAGTTGGAAAATGGAGAGAGAGACAAAAATGGTGTGTTTGTGTGTTTGCATGTGTGATGAACGTATGTTTGTGCGTGCACATGTGGGCGTGTTCCTTTCAGAGAAGAGAATCAATTTATTGCCATTTGCAGAAAAACTACATTGGAATACAAACAGGAGACACCGGGGGCACCAACGCCACACACACACCCACACACACGCATATAAAACCAAACCTGTATGGTCTTAAACTCAAATAATCATTAGCCCTCTATGGCATGACTTTTTATTTAAGGGGGAAAAAAATATTTCAACACACTTTTTAAGAGCTCGTGGGTCCCTAATAACATTGATCTTTACATTTGACTCCCCCCCACCCCCCCCAATCAGATAATGGTTTGTTGCTTAAGGGCAACATTGTGCGACGAGGGTACTAAAACACCAAGGTTTTCAATATTACATTGAATTAGGAAAATAATAAAACAAATACATTAGAGAAGCTTTTATTCTTTTATTTTTCAAGCTCAACTTTTTTAAACGGGTACAGAGCACTCCAGATTGCAAAAACAAAAGCAAAAACAGTTCTGAGCCTCTAGTAAGTCACACAGCTGCGGGTCTCGGTAGCCTATTGTGTATGGAACAGCAAGAAGCAGTTGCTGAAGACAGAGACCTGAGACCAGGACTAATGTGAGAGGACTTCAGGACAGAGACCTGAGACCAGGACTAATGTGAGAGGACTTCAGGACAGAGACCTGAGACCAGGACTAATGTGAGAGGACTTCAGGACAGAGACCTGAGACCAGGACTAATGTGAGAGGACTTCAGGACAGAGACCTGAGACCAGGACTAATGTGAGAGGACTTCAGGACAGAGACCTGAGACCAGGACTAATGTGAGAGGACTTCAGGACAGAGACCTGAGACCAGGACTAATGTGAGAGGACTTCAGGACAGAGACCTGAGACCAGGACTAATGTGAGAGGACTTCAGGACAGAGACCTGAGACCAGGACTAATGTGAGAGGACTTCAGGACAGAGACCTGAGACCAGGACTAATGTGAGAGGACTTCAGGACAGAGACCTGAGACCAGGACTAATGTGAGAGGACTTCAGGACAGAGACCTGAGACCAGGACTAATGTGAGAGGACTTTAGGACAGAGACCTGAGACCAGGACTAATGTGAGAGGACTTCAGGACAGAGACCTGAGACCAGGACTAATGTGAGAGGACTTCAGGACAGAGACCTGAGACCAGGACTAATGTGAGAGGACTTCAGGACAGAGACCTGAGACCTGGACTAATGTGAGAGGACTTCAGGACAGAGACCTGAGACCAGGACTAATGTGAGAGGACTTCAGGACAGAGACCTGAGACCAGGACTAATGTGAGAGGACTTCAGGACAGAGACCTGAGACCAGGACTAATGTGAGAGGACTTCAGGACAGAGACCTGAGACCAGGACTAATGTGAGAGGACTTCAGGACAGAGACCTGAGACCAGGACTAATGTGAGAGGACTTCAGGACAGAGACCTGAGACCAGGACTAATGTGGGAGGACTTCAGGACAGAGACCTGAGACCAGGACTAATGTGAGAGGACTTCAGGACAGAGACCTGAGACCAGGACTAATGTGAGAGGACTTCAGGACAGAGACCTGAGACCAGGACTAATGTGAGAGGACTTCAGGACAGAGACCTGAGACCAGGACTAATGTGAGAGGACTTCAGGACAGAGACCTGAGACCAGGACTAATGTGAGAGGACTTCAGGACAGAGACCTGAGACCAGGACTAATGTGAGAGGACTTCAGGACAGAGACCTGAGACCAGGACTAATGTGAGAGGACTTCAGGACAGAGACCTGAGACCAGGACTAATGTGAGAGGACTTCAGGACAGAGACCTGAGACCAGGACTAATGTGAGAGGACTTCAGGACAGAGACCTGAGACCAGGACTAATGTGAGAGGACTTCAGGACAGAGACCTGAGACCAGGACTAATGTGAGAGGACTTCAGGACAGAGACCTGAGACCAGGACTAATGTGAGAGGACTTCAGGACAGAGACCTGAGACCAGGACTAATGTGGGAGGACTTCAGGACAGAGACCTGAGACCAGGACTAATGTGAGAGGACTTCAGGACAGAGACCTGAGACCAGGACTAATGTGAGAGGACTTCAGGACAGAGACCTGAGACCAGGACTAATGTGAGAGGACTTCAGGACAGAGACCTGAGACCAGGACTAATGTGAGAGGACTTCAGGACAGAGACCTGAGACCAGGACTAATGTGAGAGGACTTCAGGACAGAGACCTGAGACCAGGACTAATGTGAGAGGACTTCAGGACAGAGACCTGAGACCAGGACTAATGTGAGAGGACTTCAGGACAGAGACCTGAGACCAGGACTAATGTGAGAGGACTTCAGGACAGAGACCTGAGACCAGGACTATCGATTGGAATGTCCCTAACTCCTTCATTCTTGGACCCGTAAAACGTTATTGCATCCATTTCCTACAAGCAATAGTAGATAGATCAGAATGGAAGATAGAACAGCAAAAAACATTGAGTGTGGTGTTGATTATCCATTCAAGCACATCCCCAACCAGCAGCATTACACTGCCCAAACAAAAGTGCTACAACTGCATGATGTTGCCTTGAGGCAACAAACCTAAACGTGCAGTTTTTGTATATAAATGGAAACAAAAAACATATATTAACAATCAAATATGCTTCTTAACATATTCATGCACAGTCACATATTTATTTTATCAAGTTTTTTTAATTTAAACATGTAGAAAAGTTATATTTATCCTACCTTTTTCTGGCACTGTGTCACTTGTGACTCTGCTTCCTGAAAGGACTGCTCCACCCCCAGACAATTGCCCCCACCCACTTCAGAACTTGATTTAATTGGACAGAAACATGTCTAGTAATTTTATAAAAAAATAAATAAAAAAAAAACATTAAAGGGCCAGTGTAAGAGCCAAAAGATTGGTTTGTTGCCCGAGGGCAACAGTATGCCATAGAGGGTTAGAATGCACCATGGGTAAGTGGTTTACGCAGTACAAAATAATAAACAAATGTTCGTTCAAAACATTTAAAGTTCAAAAAAGGTTTATTTATCAAGTTGCATCTCCAAAACTGGTAAAAACCATAGGCCCACACAGGTGCATGACGGCCCGCCCTGTACTGCCCCCTTTATCCCCTATAGGTGCCACTAAACGCCTAAGCTAAGCCTAAACTAAAAGATAAACCAAACTGAAGTAAACCCAATAATATCTACAAAAATATTACCAAAAAATACAAAAATTACCTTCAGCAAAAAATAACTAAATATAGAAAAATATACAAAACCCCCAGATAAATTAAATTAATCTTTCCCACAAGCAAATAGCTCCTACAATGAAGTTATGAAGGAGCAACGAAGAGAAGCAGATCTCAGGACGCTCTGTCAATAACCGCCTGAGGGAAGAGGCTATTCATGTGGCGAGGGAAGAGGCTGGAACAAGGCCGCTCCAGGATGACCAGAGGAGTGGTTAATAATCCTCAGGGCTCGGTTCATAAAGAGCCTCCAGAACAGTCTCGGTTCACAGCCCTCCGAGCAGAACCACTTTGTTCAGGGCTCTCTTTTCTTTGGCTGTGATGAACCACAGTGATCGCACCCGCAGCAGGCTTTCTATGGAACAGCGGGAAAAGTTCAGCAAAATCTTAGAGTTATTTCTAAATTCTCTAAGTTTCCGCAGAAAGTGTAGACGTTGGCGAGCTTTCTTAACAGTGTGGTTGGTGTTTTTGTCCCGTCTCAAATCGTCGGACAAAGTTAGACCAAGGAACTCACAATCCTCAACAATCTCCACCTGAGAGTTATCAATGACCACAGGTGAGTGGGAGAGACCACGAATGTACAGGAGAGGGGGAGAGACCACAAATGTACAGGAGAGTGGGAGAGACCACACATGTACAGGTGAGTGGGAGAGACCACAAATGTACAGGAGAGTGGGAGAGAGAGAGACCACAAATGTACAGGAGAGTGGGAGAGACCACGAATGTACAGGTGAGTAAGAGAGACCACGTATGTACAGGTGAGTAAGAGAGACCACGAATGTACAGGTGAGTGAGAGAGACCACGAATGTACAGGTGAGTAAGAGAGACCACGTATGTACAGGTGAGTAAGAGAGACCACGAATGTACAGGTGAGTGAGAGAGACTAGGAAAGTACAGGTGAGTGAGAGAGACCACGTATGTACAGGTGAGTGAGAGAGACCAGGAAAGTACAGGTGAGTGAGAGAGACCACGTATGTACAGGTGAGTGAGAGAGACCAGGAAAGTACAGGTGAGTGAGAGAGAACACAAATGTACAGGAGAGTGGGAGAGACCACAAATGTACAGGAGAGTGGGAGAGACCACGAATGTACAGGTGAGTGGGAGAGACCACGAATGTACAGGTGAGTGGGAGAGAGAGAGACCACGAATGTACAGGAGAGTGGGAGAGAGAGAGACCACAAATGTACAGGAGAGTGGGAGAGACCACGACTGTACAGGTGAGTGAGAGAGACCACGAATGTACAGGTGAGTAAGAGAGACCACGAATGTACAGGTGAGTGAGAGAGACCACGAATGTACAGGTGAGTAAGAGAGACCACGT